CTAAAGGCTAAATAAAACAAACTTCTATCCCCCGTCCCTGCAGTGAATGGACCGTCCCAGCCCACCGAGGGCTGACGCAGTGGGCTTTAGTGACCTCTGTCTCTCTCAGTGATCCAGGCCATTCTCCCAGCCCTCAGCTCAGCACCCACGTGTTGTCAGCAGCTCCTGTTACGTAAGCCCTCCTGCCAGACAAAAGCTCAGCCATCCCAGACACAAATCACTGACTGCCCCATGTTGGCAGCAGCGCTGTTAATGTTAGCCAGTAATCCACACACAGGGTCTTTCTTGAATAGAATTTTTTTTTGCTGGCTGCCAAATTGAAAATGTTGGCCACCTATAAGACATGAAATATAATTTATAATGTTTTTTTTTTTTTATCTCCAAGTGTGATTGAAGTCGGCTTTAGTGTAATTTCCACAGTCTTACATTTCTGCAAAGCAGTTAATGAATAATCAGATTTTTTTCTAAATGTCACATTACATGGACAACACCCTACAATTTAGCTTGCATTGATAAACTTGATTAACTTGTAGCCTCCCACGTCACTGCGGTTTAATGTCATAAACAGTATTACTGCTCTGTCTTAATGACTGTACGTTCTGACATGTCCACCATTGTTTAAGCCTCTCTCATGTCTTTTGTTTTTGTTATATTGCAACAATTAAAAAGTGTGTCACAATGTACGAAGTAAACATTAACCAAGGCCAAAGGTGGAAGTAATTTACTCTCGTTACTGTCACAAAGTTGTTATATTCCAAGTATTGTACATTGCTGGCTAACATGCTAAATGCTAAAATGCTCATGGTGGATCCTCAGTACTGACGTGTGTAAAGGGGCTGAGTGTACTGGTTATATTACGCTTTGAGAACGATCAAGCAAAGAAGTTGAATTCAGAGTAGATTGTGGATGATGTCACTCTGCTCGAGGCTCGTCGACAGTCGTTCAGACAGGTTAGTATAACAATACAAACTCACTGTGATGGATGTAAATCTCTCTCAGGAGGACAATGGCAGTATTGCTAGGCAAAGTGTGTATAAGTTAACTAAAACTGACGGCTATTTTGTTTGCTTGACTATGTAGTGGAGTCACTGTGGATTATATATTTTATACACATCTGTGTTATCTGCCTTGGTGATGTTTTATTCTGCTGTTAATTCTGTAAGTGGCAGGTTATTTAATGTGTTGCAGATTCCATAACTCTTTCTGTTTATTGTCCTTTTTGTAGATTTTTCTGAGTCTTGTCCTCTTTCCTGGTTAATTATAAGGAGGCTAAACTGAACAGTTGTGTAGTTAATCACCAGCACAGGCTGCAAAGTGCTCTCTGGACAAAGGGACTCTGTGGTGTGCTGTGTATGTGTTGACATGTTAATGCTTTTCATTTTGTAGCCTAAATGGGTTCTTTAATTTGATAGGCACATAACATAATCACCATATACAATTTGTCCTTACCCTCCCTCCACTCCCCCTTTCCCTTCACTTTTAATGAAACTTTGAAATATTCTAGTAATCTTTCCATCCCTGACAGAGATGCATAGCAACAACCTTCCTTAATAATGCTTGACTCACGGAGGCTAATCTGACTTGCTAATATGCTCTCAAATCTGATCTAATAAATAAACAATAGTAATTTCACTCTGCATACAGATTGATTAAAGCAATTTAAATAAAAAGATAAGTGATTTGTTATCATATTAGGCTGTAACGCCAGAGGCTTTGTAGGACACAGTCTGTGAGGGCACTGGCTTCTCCTCAGAAATAAGTGTTTTGAAGGAGAGCCTTGTGACATAACATCAAATGCATCAACGTGGGTTCACAGGAATGACTGACATTACAGGCCCAGAGTGACAACAGCCATCCTTTTGTTAGTCTGTGTTGGTACTTTCTGTCCACAGCCCTTCACTTTTATCGTCCCCTTTTTTTCTGGCTGTCAGTGCCTTGTGTTTTCGGTTGATGTGCCAAAAGTTGCAGTCAATAGACCAACACTGTTTCTAAGAATAATCCAAGCAATAAATTCCCTTTATGGGATGCTATTAAAGGACCCGTGTGTAGGATTTAGTGGCATCTAGCAGTATAGATGCTGAATGCAGTGTCCTCGCCTCCCCCTCCCCTTCCAAGCATGTAGGAGAAACGAAAGGCCGCGAACATTGCCCAAAAAACCCCTCTCTAAGGTTTGTCCGCTCTGGGCTACTGTAGAAAAACATGACGGTTCAACATGGCAGCCTTTGTGGAAGAGTACCCTCTCCCTCTGTAGATAAAAATACATTTTTCTAAGGTAATAAATACCTGTTTTTATAGGAGAGGAATGTGTGATGGACTGCGTCACACAAACCCCTTGCATTGAACTCATTTCTATGAGACTGGTGTCACAAGCCAAGGCCTCGTCGTTACAGTTTTAGCTGTGCTCAGTCTTACTCGGTTTTGTACTTTTTGATCTCTTTCAGTTTTTTTTGTTAAATGTTGAAATTTCAGTAACCTTTAACTCTCATCCCTTTTTATATTAATAATCCCTAATCCCTTTCAAACTGCATTCACTCACGCAGGTCAAATGACTCACGTTGACCCTATTAGATCACTCTCCAATGAGACAGTAGCTTTGTGTAAAAAAAAAACACAACGAATTCTTCTCATTCATTGAAATAAGACTACCGCACCGGTGTTCATTGGTAGGCTCTGGCGGAAAAATGCAGGTCAGTCCCATACAAAAGTTGACCCTGGCTCAGCTTTTACTGCAGTGCACCACAGACAAAGGTAGTGCGGTGTCTAAGCAGACATGAGAAAGTTCCCAACTCAGAGCAGCGATATCCCCTACAGCGTCATGCCAATTAATGCCTCGATAACTTTCGACTTTAAATTGTGACGTTTTGCCTTAGAGGAGTATAAACGTGTGTTTGAGTCTGATAGCAAACTGGACTTCCTGGACTGGTTCGTATTAGCTCCATCTTCTTTCTGGTCCCTATAGCAACACGCTGTCTTCAGCACAGCCCCTGGTGTTTTTTTGATGCAGTGCTATTATGGGTCAGAACACGGTTCAACCCAATCCTCTGTGTTAGCCTGAATGGGGTCTAAGTCTGTTTTGATACCTGCTTTACTCTCACAGCTTTTAAGTTGTTATATTATGTGATAAGCAGACCCGAATATCACAGAACTGACAAACTGCAATAATGTTAGGAGACCCTGCAGAGGAGGCTGCTGGATGCCTCAGTTTGCAGAGAAGGCTCTAGAAATACTGTGCTTGCTGAGAAAAGGCCTTTTGTACTGGAGTCTGTTCCTCCCCTGCGTGCCTCTGTGGCTTTTGCTGTAATAACGATGGAGAAACTGAGGGAGGTAGGGAGAGAAGCGTGAAGCGAGAGAACGATGGAGAGGTGTAAGAAGAGTAAACTCGTGACTCATCAGGCGCAGTGGAAAAGGGTTCACTGAGTCAGAGATGAGGCAGGAACATCGGGTGGTGGATGAGCCATGGGACGGATGGGAATAGATGACTGTAGGTAGATAAAGAAAAAAAGTTTTTGATCTTCAAGGCAGCATATTGACTGGATAGTTTTACTACTGGGCACCGCAATTTTGTAATTAAGAGAGACATAGAACATTGTCATTATTTATGTGCTGGTTACATGTTTGATGCTGTCACTATATTGGGAAAAAGGCAGCACAAAGTATTCTTCAGATCTACAAAGTGATTAATCATGCTCACAGTGTGAAATGAAAGTAGTATACTGTATTGCAGCCCTAAGATGAAAGATTTCATTTGCCTTTTGAACTGCATTGATTGGCAAGGTTTATGATTTACCAGATGTTTGAAACACTTATTATTTACACATTATACTAAGCCAGCGAAGTGCTTCGGAGGGACAAATGTCACAGAACAAGACTGTGGCTGTGGGTCAAAGCACTGCTGGAAAAGAATATGTACTCTCTGAATAGCTTTCCTGGTAAAATAAAGGCTATTTGCTTTAGCTTGGCCCCTAAAGTACATCTTTTTTAGCCGGAGCTACTTTGATTCATGCCTTTTGTCTGGCTGTGCATTGATTGCCCTCTGCATCCTTTGTGTCAACGGCCCATCCATGCTGACTCTTTTTTTCCTCTCAGTCTTGATAATGTTTCTGTATTGATTTCAGTGCCCAACTGATGCCGGTCTATTGGAGCTGCCATTGAAATTTGAAGAGTAAAATTGTTTAATTGATTTCAAAGGGGCATCTTCGAAGTAATACGATGTCCTCATATCATACTGATCAAATACATTTGAAAATGAATACGACATTGAGGTCCATTTCCTTTCCAATCCTTGAAATATATAGGTTTTCTGCTGTTCTCTGAATCTAAAAGCATCGTTAACTACAATGATACGAACAGAAATCCAGATATTTCCTAACAAAAGCAGGCAAACGTTGGCATTTTAATTTTTTGATTTCTGTTCAGACCCTTCACGATCTGTTTCTCTGGCCGAAAAAAAAAACCTCTTGTCTGTTTACATATTCAACAGGTCATATCTGAAGGCGGTATAGAAGCACATTGGTCTCAAGTCAAGATTTTAAAATAGTCATGACTTAAGTGATGGGTCCTGACAGCGTTTCTGAATTCATAAGAGCTAATTAAAAAGTGTTAGCAAAAACCGGATGTAGACTGAAACCACACTGTAAAGTTCCCCACATGATGGACATCTTGTCTAACAGCAGCTACCCTTTGGTTAGGTTTTGAGGCAAATCTGAGGAAACAGTTTGTCAAACCGGTTCACTTTGTGTGCCACAGCTGTTATCTTGGGTGGGAAGTGACTGCAAAGGTGTCAAGTTCAAAAGCAACCAGGTCACAACAGGCTTACATTTGAAAAGGGGTTGAGCAGGGTCATTATATCAGTGTGTCTCTCATTCACTGTTGTAAACATCCAAGCTTTAACTCTCCTTTTATCTCTTTTAAGCTGTTTTAAATCTGTCCTGAAAATGTTTTGCCCCTGGTGAGTTTATTCCAGCAGGTTTAATCTCATTTTATCTGTGTTCTCTTTTCAGGTGTGGCTGGTATAGGAAGTAGGACGAGGTAGAGGACTGGACCCCCTCACCCCTTCCCTTGCTGTCCTGTCAGGGAGAGCAGAGTCCGTGTTTGTTTTTTGGTTTTTTTGGGGTTTTTTTCTGTCCGGACACAACCCGCAAACTTGTGAATTCATGATCACATGACCGTGGATATGGACGCAGTCCTGTCCGACTTTGTCCGTTCCACTGGAGCTGAACCAGGATTGGCCAGAGATCTGCTAGAGGGTGAGTTGCATAGTATTATTCACAACAGTGGTCTTCAGTTACATTTGCACATATCTTTTTGATTTAGTCTTTTTTTTTGCTTCCATTGCTTATACAATTCAAATAAAAAAAGGGGGTGTGGGGGTTGGTTGTGTGAAGTTGACAGCTGGTGATGTTATGAGCAGCAGCCAACTCGTTCCGCTGTCCTAGCCAGTGCTTCTGGCTTGTTACTGTTAATTAGGCTATCATACACTAACAGAAGGAAGGTATAGCTGGAGTCAACAGGGCTCCTGTTGCCTAGCAGCAACACAAGTTGCAGATAAGGATATGGGTTAAAAATTTAATGCAATGCAGTGAACAGCAGCAAGCCAGCGAGCCGAGACGTGCTCCAAATTCTGATATTTACTCGTGCGATGGAATGTGCCAGTGGCCTTTACATAAGATAAGACCGGCTATGGTGGCATTGACTTGCAGTAAATATTTAAACTCATTAGGGATGTGCCATTCGAAAGAAGATTCAGGTTGTCATGCTGGACTGTGTGGCTCAAACAGATGTTCCTGTCCCTCTCTCTGTCTGTAGGCAAGAACTGGGATATCACTGCTGCCCTCAGTGACTTTGAGCAGCTACGACAGGTGCATGCCGGGAACCTGACGTATTCGTTCGAGGATAGGATGTATCTGCCCCCCGAAAAGGAAATGGCCAGGGTAGCGCGGCCTATACTCCACCGCCAAGATGAGGTGGTGCAAGGTGAGGCCACCAGCAAGTGAGATGTTTTTGTTTTAATGTTTAAATTTACTGGTAGATACTCCAGTTCAAAGTGCTGGGCTCAGTAAGGGATCTTAAATAAGGACACACACCGACTCAAAGCACCTGAAAGCAGTCTCAGACAATTAGCAGTAATAGCTAATGTAGTTTTGACAAATGCAGACAGTGATTGTTAACCATTGTAAGTCAATCTTTCTTTTCCTTGACAAATTTCTCATGAATCTGACTCTGAAGTTTAATAGCTGAAAAGAATTTCCTTTTAAAATGTACTTGAGATAAAAAAAAATGTACCTATTGTCTGTCACTTTCTTTAGCAGCAACAGAAAAGCGCCTGTCGAGGGGAATTTCCCATGCCAGTTCAACCATTGTGTCCTTGGCCCGCTCTCACGTCTCAAGCACTGGAGGTACCAGTAGTGAGCCACTTCTGGACACGCCCTTGTGCACTTTCCAACTACCAGACCTCACCGTATACCGGGATGACTTCCGTGGCTTCATCGAAAGAGACCTTATTGAGCAGTCGATGATGGTGGCCTTGGAGCATGCTGGTAAGAAGAACTGGATTACAATCTTAATTTCTTATAGCTCTCTTTCAGGGAAGACAGTTTGACACAGCAGGAAAAGCACTTGTATAAATAATAAAATGAATGATGGCTGTCACTGTCACACTGTCATGGGTCACTGGGATACTTGAATAGAGTCATGTGACATCCTATTTTCCAACATGGAAATCTAGGTTTGACACAATATGTTTATCTTCCAAACCTCTGCATTTTTTTCCATATGGAAATTACTACAGCAATTGTTTTGGGTTAACTTGTGCTTAATTTATAATGCAAACAGGTGAGATAAGTTTTTCCTATTTACGTGCAGGGCGACTAAACTGGTGGACGAAAGTGGTTTCAAACTGTCAGAGTCTGCTGCCTCTGGCAACAAGCGGAGATGGAAATTGTCTGTTACATGCAGCCTCGCTTGGTGAGTATCACAGACCTTTCAAACAAGACCCCAACACCGTGCAGGTTCACACTCCATTAGCTTTCATTAAGAGAGCTTCATTGTTAGTTTAAGCACTAATTGCATTTTACAACGTTGCAGTGCACATTCACTTAGCCTTTGTGGCCCACTCAGGAGCCCTAGCCCAGAAAATTGATAATGTCCCAACTAATGTGCAGGCATTACTTAAGCCCTTGTAGTGCATCTCCTGGATAGTAGGTGTGAAGTAATATTTATGTGCTTAACCTGTGCTTTTTAAAAGATACTCATAGGATTAATGCACAAATTGCTACAAGTATAGCTTTACAATGATTGATATGAAGTTAATTTACTTTAGAATTTGTACCTTTTTTAAACTTGTCAACACTAAAATACAAAAAAGCCCCTGAAATGCTTTTCATTATTTTCATTTTCAAGTGTAATTATACACAAGATTTTGTTTTCTAATGCAGGTATGTGGGGTTTTCATGACCGGGACCTGATGCTACGAAAGTCTCTGTATGCGCTGATGGATCACGGATTGGAGAGAGAAGCACTGAAGCGCAGGTGGAGGTGGCAGCAGACCCAGCAGAACAAAGAGGTCTGTTATTAAGGGTGCACATTTCTCTGGGTCATCGTTGTAACTGTAATGACTGTATGAGGGAAGTGGTATTCTAAAGCATAGAGTAGCTTGTGAAATTGTGATGAGAATGTTGCTAGAAAAAATATGCATCCTCTCCAGCCTACACGTCTGAAATAAGACAGTTGAAATGTCAAATGCACACAGCTCACTGTTGTTAATTTCCTGTGTTTCATGCAATTCCAGCTCAAAACACAGGAAACAAAACCAGGGACAGGCAGGGCAACATTGGGTTTCTGTAAACTTTATTTAATCGTAATTGTAGTGATTTCCCGTAAATGGGTATAATAAATGATCATGGCCTAGAGACTTAGAGAAATTCTTTGTAATTTGGTGTACTAGTATTATGAAGTCAGATACTTCGTGCTTTTATTAATTCTCATTAATAAAATGAGAATTAAATGAGGCATTTTATTTTATGGCAGAGCAGTTGTATTGGATTGCATTGGATTTGACAGGTTTAGCTTTTTTAAAGATGACTAGTGATAGCTGAAGAATGAGGGGGTGGAATCGAACCCAGGCCACTGCGGTGCATTGCATGCTCTACCAGGTGAGCTACAAGGGCACCCCACAGGTGTACCTAAAGTGGCCACTGAGTGTGTATATGGGCACTACACCTGCTCCAACAATAAATATAAAAGGTTGTACTGCAGGTTTGGCAGGATTTAAATATCAAAACCACTTCCACATACAGGAGTTAAGATTGAATTCCTTCTGTCTTCCTCATTTCAGAAAGGTAACATAAGTCACTTTTTTTCCTATTTTTCTTTGGTTATTTGATTGTCTTTAACAGTCTTTGTTCAGCCTTGATAACATGCTGATTACTGTATCAAATACAAACAATTGTTTTAAGATTAGATAAGTGCTGGTGTCTCCGCCTAGTATTGATACTTTTTATCAATACCCCAGAAAGAGACTGTTTGAGTTCTGTATGCACTGCAGTGTACTTCCAACATCCTACAAAGGCCAGAAGAGGATCTTTAGAGCACAACACAATGACCTTTCTCCCCATGAAAGCAAGCACAACAGTACACTAAGTATGTTTTCCAAAGTGGTCGCAGACAGCATGCAGACACCCACAGAGGAGATGCCACACGAATGGCTGCCTAATGTTCACCCATTCTTCAACCGCTACCACAGAGGTGTCCTTAAGCAAATCACTTAAACCAAAATTGCTCTAGTGGAGCTGCACAGTGGCGAGCAGTAGAGGACTCAGAAGCTTTCTTGTCTGAATGTACTGTAGGTGAATAGGGACATTGATTCTGAGCAAAAAACACATTAATATGCAGTTTCTTTCTGTCCATATATGGAGATTAAACACAATATTGATGAGGGTTCTGTTGCTCCTGTGTGAATGGCAAAGGGATTTGTAAAGGCTCTAGTTTCTCTAATTTCTTTCCTCAATTGTCAGTATATAACCTTGTGGTAAGACGCCGTAACGTCAGTGCATGCTTTTGTGACATTTGACACTTCCTCTCTAAATGGCAAACGTGTGTGTGTATGTGTGTGTGTGTGTGTGTGTGTGTGTGTCCTTCCTTTCTCCTCAGTCTGGTCTGGTGTACACGGAGGAGGAGTGGCAGAAAGAGTGGAATGAACTGTTGAAGCTAGCCTCCAGTGAGCCGAGAATACACTACAGCACCAACGGCACCAACGGGTATGGTCTGGCTCGGACAATGCAGGGACTGTTAACCCAACGCACACTTAGTCACACTCATGTTTTTATTCATGAACAAACAACTGCGCTCACAATCAGAACTGAGTGGCTGGCCCTCATTTCGGACAATCTGCTATTTATTGTAACAAGCACAAGTTCAGTTCAGTGGGTTAAATATACTGACAAAGCTCTATAATGCAAAATCTTGGAAGTTTTAAGGTGGTTCCAAATGTTTTTATGTGTGAAACCAGTTTAAATGTAGGTAGCTTTCCTTTAAATACTCGTACCTTCATATGAATGTTGTGTTTGTGGCCCACTATAAAGTCTGCAGGAATCCATTAATAAGGCACATAAAAATGTAGTGTCTTTTTGAAACTTTGCTTATCTCTGGTTTTGCAACAATTGTTTCTGTAAACCAACCAACCATGTTGTTGTCTTCAGGGCGGAGTCCTCTGATGAACCAGTTTATGAGAGTTTAGAGGAGTTTCACGTCTTTGTCTTGGCTCACGTCCTCAGAAGGCCCATAGTTGTCGTGGCTGACACTATGCTGAGGGACTCTGGAGGAGAGGGTAAATATACCATTGCTAATGCATCATGTACTGTATTTCATAATATGTTTGCATAATGTCCTCATATAATTCATCCTCTTTGTAGCTCAGATAGATTAGGTTTGGAATATACAGACTCTTCGCTACACTTGGCAGAAAATTGAGACAATCACAAGGAAGTATTTGAAAGAAAACATTTTAAGTTGTCAGTGACTGATGGCTTGCCTGAGTTGTCCTAATGAAGCAAACACCACCAATCTGGTATCTCAATCAGGTTAAAACAAACAAATGAACTACTGCCAAATACTGTGTGACCCATTTATGTTGCATAAAACAAATGTGCAGACACATATTTTTCTTTACAACGCGCCACCTTCAGCACTCTAGTGAGAAAACCTTAATAGTTTGTTAATTGTAGCTGTTGCACTGTAGCTGTTGTTTTACTGATATCAGAGGTCACAACAGTCTTGTTATAGAATTATTGCAACACTCATGATTGAAAGAAAGTAAGTGAGATATTGGTTTGATTTATTGAAAGCAGTGAAAGCTCCTTTATTTTTCTGGCTCAAATCCTCCCAGTGTGCTTGGAAACAGTGCTGAGGTCGGCTTTTCAGATGTTTAATGTCCTTGTTACTCTTCCCTAGCCTTTGCTCCAATCCCGTTTGGAGGCATCTACCTACCACTGGAAGTGCCAGCTGCCAAGTGCCATCGCTCGCCCCTGGTCCTGGCATACGACCAGGCGCACTTTTCTGCCCTGGTCTCCATGGAGCAGAAGGACAGCTCCAAAGAGCAAGGTAATGCTCGTCATCATTCATATTTATCATCATCTTTTTAGGCTCCCAGTGAGCAGTTGACATTTTAACGGCATAAGTCATAGCACATCAATCATGATCATATATTAATGTGTGCAAGGTTTACAGCAGCAGTTTTCTGACAATACATAGCACTCAGACATGTCAAAGACTATCAACCCATCAAGCAGAAGCACCAAGCTGCTTCAGCTTGATGGGTCAGTCTTTTTTTAATATTGACCTCAGTGGTTTATTTAAGAAGGGTGACTAAGGCCATTGGGCTTTTGGGTATATCTAATGATCACTGTAGCTCAGTGTAGAGCAAGCAAGTGACTGCCTTCCAGTATTAAAGTTGAATAATATTTTCATAAATGTTTGACTTGTAAAGTAAAAAGTTTGTAGACATCAAGAACTGTATTGAGTGAGGGTGAATTGGATTGGAAAAATGCTACTTTCTTGTATTATACTTATTATTGTGTCGGTCAAAATGCTGTTTGTGGAATTTTGGAGACGCACTGAATACTCAGGCTCACACTGAGGTTTGTGCACAAATTATAAATGCATCATTGAAATCCCAGACATTGTCCAGACATTGCATTGTTAACCAGTCTAAAAATATCAGATTGGACCAGCCAAAAACAATGTTGGTCTAACCAAACAGGCTAAATGTTAAAATAGAAAGTGAAAGAATTGATTGCACTTAGAAGTATTTTTGTCTACAGAGGGCTGGATTAAAACGTTTTATCTCTTTTCTAAGAACTTTTTTCCCCATCTCTACCAGCAGTTGTGATCCCTCTCACAGACTCAGAGCACAAAATGTTGCCTCTGCACTTTGCTGTGGACCCTGGAAAAGACTGGGAGTGGGGCAAGGATGACACAGACAACGTGATGCTGGCAAGGTATGATCTCCTTCTAAAAACAACTCCAGATATTGTTTGTCAGGTCAAATGTATTCACAAGGTGCATTTTACAAATTGATTTGTTAGAGGTGCTATTAAGGGTCACAACTGATACAGATAAAAGCAAGAATGGCACATGTTCTCTTGCATGTGTACACCCTCATAGACAGCTGTCCCTTTAGGACCGAGTGTCAGTGTGAAGGGATTGACCCTTGACTCCAGATTAGCGGCAGTGCCACTGACAATAAGATTAACTCTAAATACCTTCTATAAATGGACCAGGGGAAAGAGTGCCAAAATAGCAGCTCGGTAAAAATAGCCTTCCACCTTATTTACGTCAGTTGATGACACTGTGGATGTCTTATTCAGATTAAATGGTAGACAGACATAATATTACACGAGTGGCTGGTAATATTGTCTGGAAATGGTTATAAGGCTAGTGCAGAATAAGAATGCACAGCAGCAAGATGTTTTAGTGCATTTGCTATTCGCTGTACCATTCAGAGCCAATGTATTGAATGTCAAGTTAGTGTCCTTATCCCAGGGAACAGCTTAGTTTATTAACAGAATCATTTGTTGTATATGCATTCACACATTTACCTCTGGTATCATGGTGTAGAATACAGCTCATGACTGTCGTCCAATACTGTCTAACAGCAAGAACATTATTACATTTTACCATAAAATAACATCATCAACTACCTTAATAAAATTTCCCTAAGTACAACACTGGAGCTCTGGCAGAAAGTGTAGATGTCCTCTCACTGAGGTTTGACTTGTTTCTTTCTCTCCCTCCTCCTCCCAGTGTGGCTCTCTCTTTGGAGGCCAAGCTCCAGATGTTACACAGCTACATGACGGTCGCCTGGCTGCCCCTGCCCTGTGAGGTAAAGATGAAAGTCCTCACATCCATCCTGAGTCACGTCTCCTGCTCCTTTTACAGCAGGGAGGTTTAAAAAGCCCAAACTCAGACAACAGGATTCATCATTTTTATTGGACATCCTGGTTCTGCCCAAACTGCTTTTGCAATGACAGGCATGATAAATCAGTGATAAAAAGAATTATTTTTCAACTAACCATTCAGGCCACTTGAGGAATCCAAAGACTCAGTCAGCATTTCACAAGCCAGATTGAGCTTTGGAACGTAAAAGAAACCCAAAACTTGTAACATGATTATCAGACAGATGCCAAAGCGGTTGGTAGACTTAAAGTATTACAGCTGCTTGTGGTTTCTGTTAATTTCCCACACTCGTTACAAACAAGGACAATATTTTTTCCCTTTTCCATCAGACCAACTGTCCCCTGACTGCTGTACAAAGCGTATGTGAAAACAAACTACACTGGTCCATTCAGGTCATAAAGTCACGCCACGCAAACACTGTGACAAAGGTCCTCTTGTGTGCCACATGCGAACATCGCAGAGCTTGGAAGGACAAGTTCCGAGCAGTTTCATGGAAAAACTGCAGGGTCTGGAGGCAATTGCTGCATTAAAATATAATTTAAAGGGATTGTTCTGTTTAGCAGTGCTACCAGAGGATAGCTGTGTGTTGGTTATTATTGCTGAAAGATGGGGCATTCTGTAACTGCTTCTTGTTTGAGATCAGAATACTGCGTCATCATCTAGGTCATGCCATTTCTAAATACAGCATTCTGTATTTTACATCTTCCTTAACATGTTTGTAAATTTGAACAAGCATTTGGAAACTGACTCATTTGTATTTTTCTGCCTTGGTCTGCAAAAAAAGAGCTCTATGACTCACTCTTTTCACATCTTTTATATCTTGTGCTGATTTTTCCACTTATACCTGAGGGGCATGTGCCTGTACTGTTAGAACAGAATGTGACGTTCCTTCTTTTCCCGTTTTTTATGTATTACGTTTTTTGTTGTCCATTGTAAAGTCAGCAGATCGGGGCCTGGTGTACATTTTTCGACAGTATTTTTCCACTAACTTGTGTTTCTGCTTTGTTTGCTCGCAGCAAGCCCCTCTGGCACAGCCCGAGTCTCCCACAGCATCAGCCGGAGAGGATGCCCGCACTCCTCCTGACTCAGGAGAGTCAGACAAGGAGTCAGTCAGCAGCAGCTCCAATGGCAATGGAGACACAACCACAGGATCAGCGGTTAATGGAGGTGGGTCCCTGGCCAAGAACAGCACCTCTTCCTCATCTAGTTCCTCCAGCGGTGGATCGGCGGCAGCGGGAGCAGGAAAGGACAAAACCAAGAAGGAAAAGGACAAAGATAAAGACAAGAAGAGGGCAGACTCCGTGGCCAATAAGCTTGGCAGTTTTGGCAAAAGCCTGGGCAGCAAGCTGAAGAAAAACGTGGGTGGACTGATGACAGGAAAGAACGCTGGAGCTGGAGGTGTCAAGCAGGAGGGTGGGGAGAAGAAGAAGGGCTCGTTTAGGGGGAGGAAGGGCAGCAAGGATGGCTCGCCTTCAGCCCACACCTCAGAGGATTCTGGGAAAGGCTCCCCCTCCTCAGGTAGTGAGCGTCTCAACGGAACAGGGAGCAGTATGAGCAGCAGTGGTGGGAGCAGTACTGAGAGTGATACCTACAAGTACAGCGCTGATGTCAAGGTCAGTCTGGGTATCTTGCGCGCCGCCATGCAGGGTGAGAGGAAATTCATCTTTGCCAGCCTTCTCACTACCAGCAACCGGCAGCCCTTCCAGGAGGAGATGATCCAGCGCTACCTCACGGATGCGGAGGAGCGCTTTCGGGCTGAGCAAGAACAACAGCGCCGTGATGCAGAGAGGAAGGGTGTCACCAATGGCATCCAACTACCTAAGAAGGAGGCAGTTGGTGGTACAGAGCTAAGCTACCGGCCTTACGAGGCCAAAGAGGAACTGTCAGAGAACTCCTCAACTTCCTTCAACCAACTCAAACCCTCTCCTTTGAGCCCCTCTATGTACTCTGGTGTTGTGCCCATCCCCAGGCCCTCCTTCATAGACCAGCCTCCCGCTGCAGTACCCCTCACCCAGCACCTTCATATGCATGGCTACATGGACACTCGGCGCCAGCTAGCTGGCGGTTCTCCAGCAACCTCCTACCCCGGCCTCCCCTCTTACGCCACCCTTCCCCGGCACTGCCCCACAACGCAGGGTCCCTCCCATGTCCAGTACAATAACTCACAAGGCCCCGCCTCCCTGAGTCCCTCTCGCCTCGCACCCTCATATCCCCCTGAATTCGACCCACCAGATTACCCTGGGTCTGAAACCGCTGGTGGGAGTTACACAAACGGCTTCCGGGACATGCGCTCCAACTTAGACTCTCGGAGTGGGCAACCCCCAGTCAGACACTACTCACTGGGCAGCGCCGGTGGTTTGGCCAGCCTGCAGTCCAGCCGCTGTCGGACACCCAGCTGCACCTACTACGGACACCCCGAAACGGGCAACTACTGCTCCTACTGCTACCGGGAAGAGCTGAAAAAGAGGGAGACAGAACCAGCCATCCACAGGTTCTGAATGGACCTTTCTATGGCTTGAATTTGATGAGTGGCCTTTTTCAGTTAAAAAAAAAATAACGGCTGGGGCGGATCAGCCTCTGAATGGACAAGAGAAAGGCACAACCAGCTCCCTCCCTTTTTTAGCTGTGTCACTTCCTGTTGGAATAGACCTCAGAAAGTGTCAGAAAGTCAACATGACTACAGAATAAACAGGGTGGTTTCTGACTGCTGGGGTCACATGTTAAACCATAGAATAAACTAACTGCACTTCTGTTACATTTTGCTGTGGCTCTTATGCAGGCGTTATGTATGTGTGTACGCGTGTGTGTGTGTGTGTGCGTGCCTGTGTGTGTGTGTGTGTGTGCGTGCGTGCCCGTGTGGCGTGCCGTGGTGTGCCGTGCTGCCGTGGTGTGTGTGTGTGTGTGCGTGTGTGTCGTGTGTGTGTGTGTTGTGTGCGTGGAAGCTGCAGGCTCTCCTCCTTTATCAGAGTTTAACGCCTTGCTACTGTCTCCTCCTAGTGGAGAGAATGTATATGGCAGGCACCATACTTAACACTCATCAACACACAATACAGTACATGCACACATTTACACTAAGTCAGACTCACACTACTTCATACACAGTGATGCAAGCACAAACTGAAAAGGCACGAGTGTCTCCACTCCATTTGTGGTCTGTGATAATGTTTGGGTTGATTAATTAAGGGATGTTTGAGCATTTTGAAGTCACATCCGGTTTGGGTGATTTCAGTGTTATACAGATTTTACACTACTGTTACTAGATGCTTGCGTCATAGGTACCTCGGGAAACAGCAGAATTAATCCTTGTCGAATTGCTTTTTCGTCGGTCACAATTTGCATAATGCAAATTGGAACTGCCATGCAATGCTAATGATTAAGCATTCTGTGGGCTGCTGTGGTGCTAATGTTTCAGAATGCAAACACACAAATGTCCACGCATTGACGAAAAACTGCTCTGGACTGTTAAAAGTATCTTGTTGGCAAAACAAATATCACCTAAAAACAAAATCACTTTTGTCCAATTCATATGTCTATAAATCGGATTATGAAAATGTACCATGCATTTGGTCACATTATTGACCTGGCAGTGTAGAACAAAGACGACATAGCAACATAGCACTCGGTAAGATACTGATCCAGAGCCTGATCAAGAGTATTTCATGTTTGTTGGAATGTTTCTCTTTCTTAGTCGAGTCTTCCTCTTTCTGTAATAATGGTTGGCATTGAGGCATTTGATTATTGTGGCCAACCCAGGCATGCAATACTACACACTACAAAGTCAAAATGTTACATCCAGCACATCAGAGATTGGAGACACCAGTCACTTGTGTAACATGCTGTTAAGTTAAACTGTTAAAGTTGCTGAACACGTTGGTTTTCAGACAAGTAAAGCAAATGAACTGATTTGTTATTAAACGTGACATAAACTGGAGCATTGAGGATGTCTGCAGTTGTGACAGTTGTCTCCAATTTCTGTTTGCATGATGCAAAGGGACACATGCACTTTTGTTGGATGTTGATAACATTGTATTGACAAATTAAGGTAATAGGTTGTGATTCTGAAACTCACAGTTTTGAAATGACAAACCCTCTGCACACTGATGGTTGAGAAATGTGAAACATGTTGCATACAATCTCATGATCACACAAAAGGTTAACTTCAACGTCATACATCCATGGTGTCCTTGCTAATAAGACATCTTAATGCTTATTGGTTTGGTCGCTCACTCGCAAGTTCTGAAGTTCTACTGAAGGCGGTTTCTTAATTTATGGCATTCGTCCCGCCAAATCCAGTTGCGTTATCTCTTTTTGCACAAATTCAAGCACTTTCCTGATGTCCGTAGTTACAAAACTTTTTACTGTTTTTGAAGTGGCCTGACTGTTGTCCTTTGTTCATCTCTGCAGACACTGCCACCTCTGTTCATGGGAAAGCAGGGGCACAGGTCAGAAGGGTTTCTCTAAAGGATTCAGTTACTGTCGAGCTACAGCATTTTGGTGCCAGCGTCACCATCTAACTCAGTTTCCTAGTTGCCTTTTTCAGCATTTGTCCTCGTGGCATCACAATCCTGTTTGTATGTTGTGCAAGTCGAACATCAAGTATCCACTGCTCGCTTCATCGCTTGCAGTTTCTACTACTACTGCCCCAAGATGTAACAAATTATTCATTTTTGAAAAATTGTGTTAAAGCTATTAAGATAATGCCATTGTTCTTTTCAGTTAGGCATATCAACTAGTTGATACAGACTGATGTCTGATGTTTGAGTCTTCCTTATTATCATTTCAAATTCAAAGCTGTTTTAGTTCTACTAATGTCAAAATGACTACTTAAATACTTTAATTTGTTATTATTTCCCCTATGAGAAGCCATGGTGAGGAATTTCTTTTGAGGTATCGCGACTGTAGCTGCTCTACTCTTGTTGATTGAACCTATTCTTTGGAATTAAGTCTAGAAAAGCACAATTTAGTATGCAATTCACTGCCTTGCCCAGTTGAGGGCACTCTTGTTTTGTTTTTTCTTTTTAAGTCAGTATTTGGAGCTTACCCTGGGTGACCTATACTCGAACTACAAATAAAAATAACCAAAATATTGGGGAATCATTTTCCGTAGAGCTAATTTAAAAGTATAATATGCTATTTTCTACACTGCAAAAGCTGATCAAGGAAGAAGAGTCTTTTTTGCTGTGCATTTAAAGTAACACTAGAGTTTTAATGATAATAAAACACTTACATAACGCTATTTCCCCAAAAAGCATTTTCATTTGCTGTGTTAATGTGTGTTGACATGTGTTCATGCACTAGCATTTTAATTCAGACGAAACCCATGAAGTGTTCCCATACCGTGGGAAGGTGATGCTTGTTTTGTTGAATAATGTGTATGTGTGAATACTCTTTCCCCGCCCCCCAAAGTAATAATTAGCCTACAAAATCATTTTTAATTTTATGTTTTTGCAATGAAACGGATGCCTCAGAGACATGTAAAACATCAAACGTTACAGGCTACAAACACATTTTTGTATTTAAATAAAAAAAACAATGAGAGGTTGTATAAATATGTTTCAAGTTATTTTTGTAAGCCCGAAGTTTTACAGTGTTTTTAAATGGGTAAGAATGTATATTGTTGGATATTAAAAGAGGTATGGATGATAAGCATGTAAGAGCCTGGATTGGGGTAGAATTGGTGTTTACCAGAAAGTGACATTTTGGCTGTCGAAGGTAACTCCCAGACGGGCCTCTTGATACTCGAGGCTCGCTCATTGCAAACTGATTTCCTCAATGCTGACCTAACAGGATACCATTTGAGAATATATATTTATAGTGAGATTTTTTTAATAGGTTTCCTTGTGGAATGTTTAGTTGCAACATTTTAGGATGTTCTTTCTCACATGGCTAATTGTCTAGCAGTCCGGCTTTTATTTGTTTGTTGCTTATTTTGATTTGTACATTTTGTTTACTTTTTTCTACAACCACCAATCCGTGCTATGCTAAAACATGACAGTTAATGTTCTTGTTGACCCAGCTCGTTTCCTCCAAACCAGAAGAGAAATGGCTCAGAATTAGTTTTGCGACACAGCTGACCCGATATATTTTTATATATTGTACAACACTGTAATTTCTCTGTGGACAGAATATTCATCATCAGTGACATTAACATGGAATACTTCGAGTTGCATGGGACTGGAACTGTTGCATGTAAATGGCAATCCATTTTACCAAATTTGTGCATTATTTTAACTTGATTTCATTTGTCCTGGTATTTTGATCTGTTTTTATTTTTTATTGTTTTAATGTTTTGCTTTTGTTTTTTCGAGAGGAGAGCCCTAAGGCTGTGTGACAGTGCAATCTGGATAGAAAGAACATCAGATTTTATGTTAGGTTGTTATTATTATTATTATTATTATTATTATAATTATTAATTTTTTTTGCACCGTTTGAATAAATTCTCATTGTATTTCAAGAATGCTATGCTTCTACTCTTTTCTGTGTTTTTAATTATTATAAAAAGCTACACACACGATGACTGATTATAGAATTCATTCCATAAAAATCTAATTGATGACATAAAGAGGGTTTTACACATTTCAGATTTAGTCCATACATAAAGTCTCAGCACTGGGTGGATTTGTCAGCTGATATAAAGTTGCATTTCATTGTCTTATGTGATAGTAAATTCAATTTCTTTGAGTTTTGGACTGTTGGTCGAACGTTTTATAGACCAAGTGAACTTGGAAGATAATTAAAACATAACAAAATAATCGCTAGATGGCTGCAAATAAGCAACTGACAAAATTAAAATTAGATCTGAAGCCAGCTCTTAAAGTCAGCTTGTTTAAGGTTTGAGGATGGGGGTGTGAGACTGTCCTCTCACTGGACAAAAGTTACCAGAATGCATCTTAACTGCCAAAGTGTCCTTAAGCAATGCACTGAAACCCTCCCAGCTCCACGACTTCTGTTATATAGCTCTCAACTCTGTGTGGGGCAAGAGAAAACAGGATTTCCTCAGCGAACAAATAAGCATCATATATCACCGTTATCATTAAAGTGGAGCAAGACAGACATAAAACAACATGTATTACCCTAACCTTGTTGCATTATACATTGTTGAATAACTCCAGCTCAGATGATGCAAGGTCCTGTGTCTGGGACTGTTTTATGTATCAGAGAAATCGGAGACCCTTATGTAATATTGAACAGTTTCCCATGTGGTAAAAAATCCAGACCTCTCTCTATTATAGTTCACAAGGACATCGCCTCGCTACCTGTTCAGCAGGACAGACTGCCTCTCAGGATTATTCAGACTTTCCCTGTTCACGCTGGAAAGGAATTTCTTCTTACTTGGCATCCTGGAAGAGAGTTATTGGTGGTTTCTTTCCACAAGTTTGGATGAGAGAGGAGAGGATCCAGTCCCCACACAGACCTGCTAAAGGATCAGAAAAAAAGGTACTGCTGACCAAAACGAGGCTGTAGATGGTAAATTAACAAGACTACTTTGTTTTTTTAGGAGGGGTGTCGGAGGCTTGAAATACTAGAAGGTCAAGAGTTGAATGGTTTTATGGATGTTGGCTTAGTGGCTCAGCTACTGCTTCAGCTTAAACCCTCAGCTACAAGTTCCCTGAATATGAAGCCAGAGCTCTCACTATAAAAAGCAAAAGATACAGATGTAGGATTGTAAAAAAAAAAAAGCACAAGTTGGGACAAATTATACACATTAATAGGACTTGTAGAGTTGTATAAAGGCAATGGTGCATAGTAACTATGTACATTTACCTGGTACAATACAGTTTTCAGGTACTTTCCATTTAATTCTAATTTATACTTCTACTTCACAGTTCAGAGAGAAATGTTGAACTCTTTACTCCACTTTATTTATTTTACAGCTATAGTTACTTTGCAGATTAAGGTGTTCGATGTAAGATTATTATCTGCACCTAGACCAGCTACAGTAAACAGTGAAATGCTACTTTACACGTAAATGCATTAGTGTTAACAATTTAGTATTACAATATAAAATAAGATACTGCACACCTTCCCAGAAGGGATATTCAGGTGTTGCAGCAGCACTAGGACAGATAAATAGAGAAAAGAAACAAATAAATAATTTGAAATATACAAAATAAAAAAGGAAATTAAAGGGCAAATTACAAGGCAAGCAGTATACAGTATGACCTGTGTTGTACTTGAATGTCTAACAAAGCATGACCAGTTATTTTTGTTTTTACAGGATAAGATGAGATAAGATAAGATAAGATA